AGTGATCTGTCAGGTGACAGCAGGTGGGGCTGTGGGGCCCACGTGGACTTCCCTGGGCCTGGACAGCTACAGTGCAGCTTCAGAGACGGGTCGGCAGCTCCCAGAGTCACACAGCAGGCCGTAACTGGGCTTGCCGACCCTTCCTAGCCATCACGTTCCTGAACACTAATCTCTTAGCTGTGAAGTGGCAGTTGTCCACATTCTTATTGGGGAAGTGGGGGAAACGCACAGAATTCAAACCTTCAAGAAGTGACCTCCTCATCCTCGCTCCCTTGGCTCTTGTAAGCACTTGAGGAAAGGCAGCTGCTGAGGGGACTCAGGATGAACGGTGACTGTCCAGGGCAAGAGCCCACATGGAGCGGTCTGTGCGGAGCAAGCACATTCGTTCATTTACGCATGTTGGTTTATTATTTCATCGCTGTTCATTTCTTCATATTCCAATAAATATTAACTGGGCACCAGGTAGACAGAATAATGGCCCCCCAAGATGCCCACAGCCGAAGCCCTGGCACCTGTGAATACCTTAGGTTATGTGCCCAAAAGGGCAGAGAGGTTACAGACCAAGCCAGGCTGCTAACTACTGACTGGGAGGTGGACTGCCCACGAGGGCCCAGCGTGCTCACAAGGGTTCTTAAAGGTGGGAGAGAAGGAAGCGTCAGAGAGAGGTCTGGCTGCGGAAGCCGGGCGAGAGAGGGGCAGCATGGCTGGCTCTGAAAGACCAAGGGGGCCTTAGAAGCAGGGAGAGAAGAAGAGGCGGGGTCTCTGGTGGGAACGCAGTCCTCCCGCATCGTGGCTGTAGCCCGGTGAGACCTGCCCTGGACCGCAGAACTGTAGCGATGAGTGGGCGTGGCTCTAAGCCACCACGTGGGCAGGCGTTTGCTATGGCATCAGTGGGGAACGAAGTGTCCTGACTGATACAGTCCACGCTGCTGGGACAGGTGACACTCACTCACCTTCTCACATTAGGGAGTATGTGCCATGGCCTGCTCAGAGGGGACATCAGCAAGGCACCCGGGGCTTCTGCAGAAAGGTCTGGGGATGGTGTCTCCTTCAGCCCCAGGAGCTGATGGCCTGCAGAGTAACAGCGCCCTCCCCTGAGGCTTACCGAGGACTGCGCTGCCCTGGCGTGGATTATCACCTAGGGCCCTCCCAGGCCCCTGAGTGTGCGGGATGGGACTTGCCTCTGGTGCACCGTGTAAATCTGTGCCGGCCCTGATGTGAATCAGATCCGCTCCTTCCCTCCAGAGCAGCCAGTCTTGCTGGCAGGACCAGGGATCAGAGGACACATCAGGCCACCTAAGTGCTGTGTTCCAAATGCTCGCCACCCCCAAATCCTTAAGTGGAAATCCTGACTCTCACGGTGATTAGGTCAAAGGGCAGAACCCTCATGAATGAAGTAGAGCCATTATGCAAGAGGTCCTCAGATGCTTGTGTGTCCCTCCCGCCACGTGAGGACACAATGACACAGTGAGAGAAGTGAGGAGAGAGCCTCTCCAGACTCAGAATCTTCTGGAATCTTGATCTTGGACTTCCCAGCCTCCGGAACGGCTAGAAAGAGACGCCCATGATGAGTAAGTTACCTGGTGCTGCTGCTGTCAGCCTACAGGAACGAGACGCCGGGGGAGGGCAGGGTGCTGGACAGTCGGTGCACGTCCAGGGGAGGGCAGGGTGCTGGACAGT